ATGCAGACAAAGGAAGTTGACAGGCCTGGCGGTTGCCGTATCACGGATTACCATTAGCTGACGTTGGCTGAGACTCTGGTCCCAACCTGGCATCCCCTTGGTGGCAGCTATGTTGTGCATTGAATGCACGCATGCGAACTTGCCTCAATGCTGCCGCGAACTTGGCAGCGAGAGGTGAAACATGCGAGAGACTTCAGATCAACTGATGGTCAATCTGAAGATTGTGCCTCCTAATTTGATGATCATTAAATTGCTGAATGAAAGCTGCTTCATCAATCCAATATTGCTTATCTAATGTTGTTTACCACTAGTGAGTTTTTTATCCGGGCTTTAGCCAAACTACCGTTGATTGCTGAAGGTGGCATTCTACAATATGCATGGGACGCTCTTAGATTCATAACCCCCTCGGCCTGATCCCTAACTGTCGCATTCAAACGAGGGAACAACACAAGTTTCACAGAAACCGCAGTTCGATTGAATATTTAATGAGCTGAATGTTCGCCAATTGAGCATGTCGACTTTGCAAGACACACCTCGCAAATCTCTGGCTGCGCCGTTTTGTGGAACTGACACACGAACGCCGTTTCACTGTTGCACATTCGACTCCCCACGTTGTGAAGGGTCCCCCGGGCGTCGACATAACTCCCTCTGCACCCGCCGTGTATAGAAGGTCGTTGAAACCACATGTGGCGCGTCAATTTCTCTGGAACCTGACACCAAAATATAATTTAATAATTTAATATAATTTAATATTCAATTTACCGGGTTTTATACAGCACTTGCGGGGGCGCATATTGTTCAGCGAGTTGCTTTGGTAGACGATTGGAGCCACCCAAATACAATTAAATCAACACAATGATAATTGGCAAAATAATGCTTGCACTATGTGCTGCTCAACTTTGGCATTTCTTCAGCTAGAATCCATGTATCGCAGAACGATCCACCACAATGTATATAATAATGACATTCCATCATCATACACAAAATTTCAGTTCTGCGCGACAAAAAAGTATAGAAGCGCATAACGGGCGAAGAAAAGAATTGATGCAATGCAATCTATTGCTTGAGAGCTCGCAACGCTCATTTCAAGTCGGTACCTAGCGCTTAGTACCTATCGTGAAAACTTCCACCGCAATCAAGTGCGCAACGAAACGAGCAGGTGTTGCATTCAGAGCATAACGCAGGCGTGGCTGCGTCGATAATCGGTGATACCCACATCCTGGGAAGAGCTTAGAAATCTCCATTGCGTGCCCGGCCTGAGGCCAATCCATGCGCCGTCGGGAGGGACAATCGAGGCCAAAAAATGCAATTCATCTTTGACTTGTTCAGCGCTCGGTTCCGCCAGCCGGCCGCCCATATCCTTGCACTGCTGCCGTGCCTCGTCGAAGCTCGTCGGCTCCGCTACCAGAACATAATGCACGCCCTTGAAGGCGTAACATTTTGTCGCGTCTGATGCATTCCACGAGCGGGCAGGACACTCCGACATGGGTCCTCGCAATTCCTGTCCAAACACCATCATCGCCTCAGTGCATTAGCAACACACGGGCAACATTGCGACACAGTAGTTTGCTGCAGTACGTCGCTCTTCAAAACACATAAAAAGACTTGTTCCTTCCTCCTTAAGTACCAACCTGCAACTTGCAGTGGTCGTACTTGTAGTCCTCGTTGCACTTCCTCGTCTCTGCAAAGTGGTCATTAATCATCCTCTCTACCTGTAATGCGATCAAACACTGCGCTGTTTACTGCCATCTATGGCATTGATGAAGCAATGCACGAAAGCACAGCTGCTGTGGCGACCCTGGGCTAATCAAACACTAATCACGGGATCCTAAAGTAAGTATATCAAAGTAGGCAATCCAAAATATTTTCAAATTGACAAAACTAGATTAAACTCAGACTATCGAGGACAGAAACAAACGAACCTCCACTTTGGGCAATGTCCGAAATTCAGGCGCAACCCCATAGAGCCCCCTCTTAAAGGGTGGGCTCGACTCGGCATCCATCATTTTGGCGAACAAATCCATCACTAGCATAAAAGAACCAGGCAGCATTTTTTGCGAACAGATATATGTGCCTTTCATCCGTGTTTTGCGTGCTAAAAACACGGAAATAACCCAAAACCGTAAGTTTGTTACACCGGCGAACACGTGTTATTCAGCCCTTTTTGTATTCATGTATGAACATGGCGAAAATTGAGCCAAACTGGGCAGCAGCTGTGGAAGTACATTAGTAACATGCCACGCGAACGCTAATTGACAATGTGCTGGCCCACCTGCTTCTCCCCAAGTCCGTCCTCTTCCTCTAGCACCCTCAACGTCACCTCTTTGCCAATGACGGCCAGCAGCTGCTTCCTCTCAGATGACGTCCCTTCAGTGCATCTGACGTCAAAATGCACAGTGAAAGCAGCTCGATCAAATTATGTACATATTAAAATTACAGATATATGCATATGCGCAGATGTAGATGCATTAAGCCGGCAGTATTTAAAATATTTGCCCAGCAATCAACCCAGGCCACGACACAGTTCAACGCCGACCACTGCAGTCTCAAGTTGGGGCACCGTGACCGCACTGTAGACCACTGAAAAAGCGTGCACTAGACCCTGCAACATGCAGCAAGGTCAGCGGCTTCGCAGGTCATTGGAAGAACGCCCACTAGAGGCTGCAGCATGGCGGCGAACTGGCCAGCGGCGGGAACAACGCCATGCGTTGCATTGCCGGGACCAGCCCTCTCATGAGTGCCCGGGTAGTGGCCGGTGCTGGGCCATGAGCGCCACAAACACCAGCTCCACAAACACCACAAGCAATGGCATCACAAATCTCGGGAGTGGGAGGCCGATTGGTCACCATGATCCCACCGCTTCTGCCCCTCGTGGCCACCGATCGTGGCCTAGATTGGCACCCGCAGGTGGCAACAATCAGCGGTTGCGAGAGGCAGATACCATGGGTAAATTGGACAAAGCCCGGCGCCCAAAGTGTGGGCGATAATGGCGAACACATCGTCGTAAAATGGCGGGAGTGGAAGGCAAATCAACGCCTGCCACTCCCACCGATTTCGGCCCTCGCAGCCACCTGTTATTGCAACACGCAGACGCCTGGAAAGGCACCAGCAGGTCGCAACAGTCTATGCCCGCGAAGGTCAGATTCCAGTGGTCAGTTGGATATCGTGCGGTGGCTAGGGCACAGGAGAAAGTGTTAACCTGATGGCCACAAATCGACGGGAGTGAGACGCCGATTGTGACCTTCCACACCCACCACTTTTGCTCTCGCGGTCACCGATTGCGGCAATCCAAGGGCGCCAACCTTGGCACTCGTGCCTGGCAACAACTGGTGGCCACGAGTGGCGATTCTACTGAGCAGAAAGAAAGCGTGCAGCACGCAGCGCCCTGGCACAAAACCCAAACGCGTTACCCCAACAAGTTGGGAGTGGGAGCCCAACCGCGGCCCCCGCCCCCACCCCCACCCTCTGGTAGCAGGTTGTACCTCAATTCGCCAATTTCGGCTGCACCAGCCAAAGACAAAGAGGGAACAAATGTCCAGCCAAGGCTGGCCATTTATGCACCATTTTGTCAGAGAATGCTGCATATACGGCGGGTGCGGCTGTCCGAGCTTGCTGTGTAATATTATACTTCCTCCGTCCCATATTACATGTGTTCTGCGAATTTGGCGCATCATTTATCCATCATATGTTATAGTATTTTTAGTGAAATTTGTCCAAAGTTGTGTCTATCTTTTAAGAGTATACGGTCAAAATTTCAAGTCAATCAGCTAAGTATTGATGATTTGGCAGTACTTTGTAGCAAGGGTTCTCTTGCCAGAAACCCATCGGTTTTTCAACGATTTCGCAAAAACGGCCGTTTTCACCGTTTCGAGGAGCATGCCTTCGCGGCGACGAAACAGAGCCACCCGTGCAAAACTATCAACGCCATTGAGACAGAAGATTGGCGTGGTGCTTGTGAGGAAGTGCGGCGATAGGAATCGCGTTCCGAAGGCCCTGATTGTGTAGCTCTCCATAGCTTAGAGCTGAAATTCAGTGCTGGGCTGGTGGACCGGAGCTACCTTCCGGCCCCAAATTTTTTGGGCCAGGACTTTTCGTCCCCTGTTGGTGCTGTCAAAACAACAGAGGGTGACTCTGAAACTCCCTGATGAGGCGGTGGAGAAGACGAAGCCCAGCACCGCATTCAGCGGTGGCCGATTGTGGGAATTGCTATCAGTGCGAAATTGGCGAAATTGGGTTCGTTGTGGAAGTTGAAACGGCTAGGCACGAGGCAAATGGCTAGATGGCTAATGCTATGTTTTTTTCACGAACGGAGACTAGCTAGATGGTGATGGATTGTGGACTGCACAAAAGAGGTGGTTGTTGGTGGCACCTCATGGATCGTGGGCCAAGCTGCCCAGGTTGGCCTCGATTCAAGGATCAATTGAGGCAAGATGCCCACGCCTAGCCACACAAATACCTTTGAGTGGTATAACGCACAGGTCCCAGGCTCGAGCGCCGAAGGTCGCAGCGAATTCTGGCGTCGTCGGCATTGCGACGATGACCTTCGGCACGGGAGTGACCCAGAACCGTGCGGATATCCAGCGGAATTGGAATCGGCGCGCCCATTTTTTTCACAATTCAAGGGCAATTTCGAGGGTGCCCTTCAAGGAATGGGACTGACTTTTTCTCTCAAGAATTGGTAGCTAGGGGGTCTGGGACCTAATCTTTGTGATTTTGAACTTGTTTTGTACTTTTCAAGCCTTCCTTGTAATGAACTTTGTACTTTAAATAGAGGACATTTAATATGGGACGGAGAAAATAATTGTGTACAAAATAGACGCAATAATGTATGATGCATGGTATGGATGCATTATCACGTAAATTTACAACAGGCTGCGCCAGATGCGCAAACGCTAAACCGTTTACCAAGATGTGAAAGGAACAAAGCAAACACAACTATGAAATCACACGGTGCAAACAAAGGCGGCCGTTCGGACACAATGCATCAGAAAAGTCAGCACCTGGGATTCACAAACACGGGATATGCCACGTCGGTCTTCTTGCCCCAGCTGCTCCAGTGAGTTGTCACAGGCGTAAATACGGCGTGATGCCTGTATGGCCTGGACTCCATGGCGAACGCCAAGTACCGAAAGTAGGGCCCCATGTTGTTCAAAGGCTCTCCGCGACCTTTGCCACAAGAGAGACACATATTGCATACTTAAGAGGAGGCATTTGAACGTTTGTCGAAAATCACATCGAGATCAGATTGCCAGACAGTTCCGCACATTGCTTGGGGGACCACAAAGATGTTCGTACTGCAGAAAAAACATGGGGGTTAGCATGCAAGCGCGGAGCTGAGTGCATCAAAGAACAGGGAGCAACAAAGCTGCATGTAAGAAAAGGCAATGTGTTACTCAATCGTATGACCCGGACTCCGCAAGGCAACAAAGGTGAACTTCCCCAGTAGATAGCAGCTGCGAGAGGCAAGCGGCGGACAGCAGTGGCAAGTGGACTTGAAGGACGCGACATGTCGCAGGGTCGCCCGTTGGGCGACCATATTCCGGTAATACCAGTCCACATACCGATTTCAAGTGGCAACGTCGATAGGTTCTTAAGCTATTTTCTTTGATATTTCCTTTTCTTTTTTAATACTGTCTTCACATTGTTTTGCTTTTCGCTGTTGTCAAACGTCTTGCTGTTAGCGTGTGCCAGTGGCGCCCACCGTCCAGGCTAAACCACGTGCCCCCGTTGCTGCATGCCAGCTGCCGTGCCAGGCAATTTTTTGTGCCCTCAATCGTGAGACTGAACACTGTGGCTCGACTGGACCATTGCTCCAGAATGCGCTGTCTGGCCTCCACAGCTTCCAGGTTCTTTTGAATGCCATCTCGTAGATTCTCATCCAGTGAACCCCTTGATCCTCCCACATGTCGATCATCTGATCCATTTGATTCTCGAAGCGAGCACGGCAGGTCACCATTTTTTGTGCAGTCCTCGCCATCGCCTATGTGGATGATGATCTGACAAGATGAACAGAATCGCTCCGTGAGATGAACAAAGGCTCGGCAAGTCCGCCGTGCACCACTAGGGTTTCGTAAGTCGTGTCCGAACTCTAATTCGCGCTCTAACTTTAAAGTTATGGCAGATTTGCAAATTTGCAACATCAACTCAATCGGTGAATCCATCACCAGATTCAGATTCCTTGGTCGGTTTTTGGTTGATGCGGATCTTTACCTTGTTATCTATTACCATGTATCTTGTCATTTAAAACTCTTTTAAAAATGCCCCTGTTCAATTACATGTAGGCCTTCAGTTCCCCGCATTGATGCATTGGTCATATTCCAGCATATCCCAACCAATTCACCAAAATTCATTGAGATCCTTGTTTTAGACAACAGCTAGGCATTACTACACACTTGTGGCATTTTGACATCACTACTGGCATACATTGGGGATCGCCTCTGCGAGTATCCTGAATCGTGCTGCCAAATTCTTGTTTGGGACAATTGGCCATGTTTGCCTCAGTCGAGCGCGTTTTCTTAGTTGCTGCAAGTATTCACCACCTTCAAAACTTTGACAAATATGCAAAATAGATAATCTTGCACTAAACAACGTGTCTCTTGGCCTTTGACATTCACTCGCACGCGGTTGTTGTTAACAGCCCAGCGAACTCCAATTATTTTCCTTGCAAATTCTGTTGGGATCCAATCAAATCTTTAACGCACACTAGACCACCAAAGCATAAATATCTCCTGGTCATAGTTCAGAATAATCCACCTCTTCTTAAGGGCAAGGCAAATATAGCGTACCCCACACTATGCCCATAAAAAAATAAAAATCGCTTTTGAGATGTTCGTGGCCTATCACAAGAATGGCGACATCATTTGGAAAGTTTGAAGGACTCTACACATAGCTCACGATGTGGCACTGCGAAGTCATTTCAGCGAAATTTTCCTGACTCAGGCGTTTTGATCTCCACTTGTGCGAATTGATGATCGAAGACGACTTATGAGACAGAGGTAGTACGACAACATTTTATGCAAGTATGGGAAGCTGTGCCAGCGTGCAATGGCAGAAGACAGAACCAGGTTGCAGGTTGCACTCACTTGCCTGCAATTAGCACGCCCATTGACAGTGCGCGGCGAAAATGCAACAACCAGACACTCAGAAATGGTTTTGAGGCAGTGCAGAGAGTGTGGACACACAATGCAGCAATATTGCCGCAAACTGACTATGCAGATCTGTCCTAATCTAACTGGCTTGTGGAGGTAACAATGCTGTTCTGGCCCTCCACTTGGGGACATGGCCGTGCAGAAGCCTTGTCTTTCGGCTGTTGGTTGACAACACACAGTTTTTCTTTCTATAGGACATTTTACAATTTTGAAGCAAAGTCGATGGGAACAAATTTTTGCTTACTCCAGGTTACTTTCACCTTCTACATTTTGGTAGCTTGAAATGCGATATGATTTCCAAGCTCATATGATGGTATAGGGTTTATCTCCCACCAGAATCTCTTTCAACCAACGTGGTCCAAAAAGCAGCAAACTTCTACTACAGACACTGGGATTCCGCGAAATGCACCATCCACATTCTGGCAGCAACCAGACCGACTATAGCCACATTGACTGCAATCATCACAGCACACTACCACATAACATGGAACAGCACACAGCGCTCTGCATAGCACTTGATTGGCACATCATCTTGGGTAATATTACGAACGCATACCTCAAGCTACTCACATTCTGGCAGCTGTGCAGCTGCTGTGCTAACATGCGCTCCCCACTTTGAAGCATGTCAAAGGCGGCATTAAACGCCGCCGCATTGTCCGAGCCATCTGACAAGGCAACATTATCCAGCGCGGCCTCCAGCGCTTCTACGTTTGTCTCATTGGCAGCAAGCAGACGTCCGCCCACTGCAGCAGTGGCCTGTGCGTTGAAGGCAATAATGTTGACGTAGTCACTGCTATCATCAAGAGTCCGCAGGATGCTCTTGGCCGTTTCTTTTGCGACCTCCCAACGCGTTTTGGAGTTGCCGCTTCCTCCGTGATGCAGCCGCTTCCCCATGGAACCTGGATCAATAAATAGCTTCTAAATTCCGCAAAGAATATAAAAACTCAACAATGAGTAAAATCATAAAATTCTCGATCTCAATCAGCGACTCTCAACAAGGTCCCAGTGGCGTTTGGTTGCAAAGCTGGCTTCTGTGCGATCGAGTAGCGTCAACGCCAGCAGATGTAAGTACTATCAGGATGAAAGAGAGACCACGGAGGCGGTAGCAATATCAGGTATAGGAACGATCATAAGTAGCAGTAGAACTACAAAAAGAGTTGCACTCAAATGGATGACGTAAAATTAATGCGGCAGTTTTGACGTGCTTTAAATAGCATGTAATGTGCTTTGTGCAGTAATGTGCAGTAATGTGCAGTCGATGCATATCTAGCAAGACTGCGTCATTCCATGAAAGCACATGAGATCCGGAAAATATCACGACGAAACAGAAAATTAGCTGAATGTATGTGCACAGATTGAATTGACTGATTATACTTACACGTACATGACAACAAAAGCAAGTTCTTCAACAACCTGGATATAAATGTCGGGATTTGCTTGGCAGGGTGGTTATGCATCACGCGCTTGACACGTTTCCAAAGCTTGGGCCAGGGCACCATCCACGAGTTTATCGACTGCCCGACATTCTGCTTGCAAATATACATACGTCAGACATTGGAAATTGATATAAATAGTGTGCTATGCAGTCTATGCAGCGCAGTTAGGCAGCGGAGATGTTGGCCATGCCAACTACAATGAACCAAACGAGATGTTCACAAATATCCTCAAATGCGCACAGGAAATTTCAAAAAATGCCTTGCGGACTGCCCTTATTTAGGCCACATAACTCACTTCCAGATTGCACAATAATGACGACCTTCTTTGGCTCGGAAGTGGCCATTTTGTACCAGCGGCGAAGTCGCTGCAACGGGAAATGTCGCACAAGGTGCATCAGCGTTTTTGAGCATCGTTTCAGAACAAACTATTGCTGCGACAGCAACTTTGCATGATCGCTGGACAGGGCCAAAGACTTAAACAGTCACATGCGCAGTGAATCGCAATCGTTTGCTGCAATGCTCGCACCGATATGTCCATTGTAATTCAGTACACTCTAATGCTTTTGATGCAGTTGAATTCTCAATGGGCTTTGTGGACTGCCGAGCCAAATAAAGGTCACATGCCAATAGCACACTCACAAAAACGTGTATGCAATGACCCAAGCAAAATAATATCTAAATTGTATTTGTAATCAAGAATCGCCAAAGCACCATCTTCTACCACAGCATGTCACACCACATACCATCAAGCTGTGCTGCTTTGCAAAATTCTTACTGTCCATTAGATTGTGGCAAACATGCGCATATGGTTGCACAAGTTGAGTCAATAGGCAAGAACTGTGAGCTGTTTCTCCCAATTCCTCATGGTTCCAGGCAAATGGGCCTGCTAATCCACGGTCATTTACTCAGGATTCTAAGTAAATGACTGTAGTCACTGCGATGGAATGTTCATCAGAACCCAGCTGGCCTCAACATCAAGACGAGAATGGCAGTGTCATTCCTTGCGAACAGATTTGAGTTGGGCAAAGTA